GGTCTAGTTTGAGTAGAAACTTTCCAGATGGTAGAGCGTTTAATTGATCTTCTATCATGTATTTCATGCCCAGTAGGCGGTATGTCCCTTGACTTGATCTTGTATAATGCCAAAAGTATGGTAATACTTCATCAACTTTTTTGTACATTGGAGTCAATTCTTGTAACTTGATCCTTATTTGTCTTTTTTCATCTTCAGAAAGGTCAATTTCATGATATTGAATACTTTTTTCTCTAGCCTTACTGTCTATTTGATTTATCATAGTCAATGCTTCTTTCTCCTCCTTCTCGGTCAACGTTGCTAGTGATCCAGATTGTGCTGCAGAACTGTTTATAATAGGCATCTGAGCATTAGGGCGCATAAGTGGAATTTTCGGACGAACAGCGTTAATATTAAGAGGTTGAGTCATTGAAGGTCTTGTCGCATTTGCGAACATAGCATTTTGAGCGGTCATCATTGCTGCTGCTTTGGCACCATTGGAAGCAACTATTCCTTGATTAGCGGCATTATTATTATTAACAGCCAACATAATTGCATTTGCATTTGCAGCGCTGTTAGCTGTCGTGTGCATAATTATATTCGGACGTCCAATGGTTGCATTTGCACCTTGAAAACCAGGCATTAACCCGAGATTTGTATTAATACCAACTCCTGGAGGAACTTTAATTCCCAGATTAGGTGCAACATTGGCATTTTGAATAGCCGGACTTACGAGCTTATTTTGAGGTATTTTGAGTTGTGACGTTGTTAAATTTGCTGTTGCTAAATTTGCTGCCGCTAACTTAGCTGAAGCAGCACTAGGAGACATATTTGGAGTCGTTTTATTTGACATTGTTACAGGTGATGCATTTACTACCGCAGGAGATTGATTAGGCGTGGTTCCAAGTGAATTAGTTATAGAAGGACCCGTATTTGGCATCATGAACATAGTTCCAGGGCTCTGAGACGGTGCTTGTCCTTTCATCTGATTAGCAGGCGATTGAATTGTCACATTATTAGGCAATTTCATCGAAGGACCAGCGACGTTAGAGACAGGTTGCGGGTTAACTTTCGCAGGTGATTGTATAGTGATATCTTGTTGAACATTCGGTTGTTGTGCAGCTTGCTGCTGCTGTTGCTGCATCACTGTCATGTAAACACTGAGTCTTTTCAAGACGTCCGGTGTTAACTGCTGGTCTGGAGGGAATCCTAAGTTAGCCAAAACTTGCTGTTGTAAAAGATTTGGTCGATGAGTTCCTGGTTGGGTAGGTTTTGGAGAAGATGGAACCTGAGATGCGGTTGGTCGAATAAAATTATTCGATTGTGCTTGTACTGCTGCAATTTGCTGAGGCGTCGCTTGCAACTGTTGTTGCGGTTGCTGAGATTGCCGCAATTGTTGCTGTTGCTGTTGCATTCTTCGGATTTGATCTTGTTGTAAAGTGGGGTTTTGTAACAATTGATATATTTGTTGCTGCCTCGCCGTTTGTTGCGCATTAATCTGTTGTTGCTGCAACATCTGAAATAATTGTTGCTGTTGCTGTGGTCGTTGCAACAATTGTTGTTGAACAGCCGCTGCGACCTGACGTTGCTGCAATAAGAATCTCTGGGTTTGTGCTTGTTGCTGCTGTGGAGAAGGAACAGGTTGTTGCTGTTGAAGAGTCTGTGTTAGCATTTGTTGCTGTAATTGCTGTGGTTGTGAATTTTGTAATTGTTGAGGTAGTAAAGTTTGTGCTTGTTGTGACTGTTGTTGAGCGACTTGAGGTTGTTGCGATGGCGTAGCACCCCTTTGAGTCTGTTGCTGCTGCCGTATGTGAGCGCTTCGTGATATTTTATTAGTTAACTCCCGTAACTTCGCTCCAATTAGTTGGTTGTATTCATCCTTGGAATTTGCACTGTTATAAGAATCATTTTCCCACTTTTTTGATGCGTGAAATCTATGCGTGGGGTACAAATCTGGTTGATTAAGAAGCTCTAGGCCTTTGTAAAGCCTACCAACATTAATCTTTCTTTCGTCTTCGCTAAGAAGAAGTCTCCAATCAGTCGTTGCACCAGACATATTTATTTGTCCACCATTTGGAAAGTATGCCATTTTTTAAATTCACTTGAAGAAATGGATAACTCTGAAGACCTTACTTTTTTCAATAGTTACAAAGGAAAAAAACGAACACTTGATTTATATTAACAATGTTAGTAATAAGCGGAAAATAAAAAAATTAAGGGTCCGCAATTTGTCTAGTTTACTTTATGTTTATACATACGCCAATGAGTCACTTTTGACTTCGCATACATATTACTTATTTTGAGTGACAAATTGATGTTTCTAACCTATTGAGGGGGTCGTCTAAAGCCGTGTCCATCACGTGACCTGAAGCCAATAGAATTGTTTATTTTGATCGACACGGATCAGCC